TTGTATAACACAAGGCTTCTGAAAGTAGGCAAATTAATGAAGAGGCAAAAAAAAAACCTGACAACTGCTGACTTTTGAAAGGGACTAGCACATGTAACCATGGTGACTAGAAAAAAATGCTTGAAACTAATCATTTTTTTGTTTGCTGTTTGGTTTAGATTAATGCCTCAGAATTGTTCAGGTTTTTTTTGCTTATGCTAAAGTCTGCTAATCTGTATTGTTTTGTATATACAGAATGTACACCTAGCAGTTAATCATGTAACATTTTGTCTGTAAAAACATTATGCATTTTTTTAAAAAAACTTAAGTTTCTAGCTTGTATTTATCAGAAAAGTCATACTTTGAATTTAGTGGTGGATAATTTGATTGCCTTTTTTTTCCTCTTGTGAATTAACTTACTGTGAAATTTAGCCTTGGTCTGTGTGTGTGTGTGTGTGTGTGCGTGTGCTCTTGATAATGTTTAAGGTTTTTGCAGCAGTTTTTATCAAACAAACATTCCATCTGTGTATGCTTCCTTTACTTTTACGGATGCATTTGCAGTGTGCACTGTTTTAACCATTTACATAAATGTATAGAAAGTGTGATAAGTCAGTCACAAAACTGAATGCTGTTGCACATTGACTAAAACTGCATGTTTATCAGCCCTTTAATATCAGGCTAACACATGGCACATTTGCAATGGTTTGCATTAATAGGCATTACCCAACTTCCTTTCTCACACCCACTCCAGTTTCTCCTCTCCTGTTGTGAAGGTTGTGACTGCCAGTAGTCTCCAGGTTCTTTGGCAAGAGGCCATTCTTGGTGACTGATTTTCCGTGAATGCGACAGGTTATTTTGACTGAGGGAGGGATGGCTTTACCTGATGTTCACACGTGCACTTTCCAGTGTGGATTTCTCATAGGGTGATGAGCATTGGCTTCCTCCCTCTCCCACTCTCTTCCCCACCTGGATGTTGGGGCTAACACCACTACTCCACTGCTTCTCTGATTGAAATCATAACAGACCAGGAATTGAACCTGGAATTTTCCTGGTCCGTATGGTTCAATATAAGCACAGCATTCACCTACAGCAGCACCAGGCAGCCTTGCTTTTCCTCAATTTTACAAACCACAAAGCTAGAGACTATTGTGTCACCAGTGTGTACTTTAACACTGAAATTGTCACTTGTAGTAAAGCAGCTGTTTAAATGAATGTATAAAATGGCCTTTCTATAATATTGTAATTGATGACGTAGGTAAAATCACAAGTTGGAAATGTGAAATTTTGGATTTATAAATTAAAATTGTGCTCCACAGCAATACATTCAATAGCAACTGCACTTACTTCACTATTGGCAATTAAAATCCAAATTGGGATTTGGTTCCTCTACGCCCCCCCCCCCCCCGAGACCAGTTGCTACAGCTCAAGCTGCCTGTTACTGAAGTTCTGGTTATTGTACAAACCTGCTGATTTAGTACAAAATATCATGAATGCTCCTCAGTAAAGTTTTGACAAGTTCATAAATCTAATGATCCCCAATCCTCAATTACAGTATCGATGTGCCAACATTAGCAAATTGTGTACATTTTAAAGAGCACAACTTTGACATTAGCATTGTTTAAAGCCCTGAATACCAATAGAAACACTACATGCTTAGGCTGAATTGTAAGCTTTTTCTCCCTGCCCTGTTGTATTGCAGGAATGATAGCTTTTTTTAAAAAAAATGTGACTGGTTCAAGCCCTGGATTTAAGGAACTATTTGTGCAGCTCCTTGAGGTCAGACAGATTTTCATCTGGAGTTTTTAACAAGAACTTTTAGCTTTGATTTAATTTATTGGTTTAAGATCCTTCAAGTGACCCTTTGTCTTAAATTGTTCATTTCTATAGACCTGGTATAAACATTTTATACACATGCATTTAACTCTTTCCAGGTGCATTGCTGCAAATGGTGGTGATGTAAAGAGCAAAATGGATGATCATGAAAGGGTTACTATGTAATCAGCTTGGCCAAACGTTTACAGAAATTGCTTGAACATTTTTATATTTTGCAATGGCCTTCAATTACAATTAATGTGCCATAAGTAAATAGTTGGAAGTTGAGAATGCTGATTCAGATTAAGGTGTTGATTTGTTCTATATATTCATTTGTTTTACAGTGAATCACAAATACCAAACCAGTTGTACATTTTAGAAAATAATTATCCTTAATGTGTAAACTGTGGTGCATTCAGAAGCAACGACTAAAAAAAACAGTGGAATACAATGCCTCTAAAAATGTTCTCTTAAACTGCCCCAAATTGGTACATTTTATGAAATATTCTGTGAAAGCATCTTTCACCCAATGGCCAGTATTTGAGGTTTGGTTCAGAAATGTAGATTTGGCCAAAATCTTGCTTCAGTATTAAGATTTTGAATGTAATTCAAGCCAGTAAGTAAGATTTATATATTTAATTAAGATGACCTCTAATGAAGTGAAAGTATTCACATAACCTTTGAAGCTGACTTAAATTTCTTTCCTTAAATCTCTTAGTACAGGGGTAGGAATTGCAGAAAATCTGTATTTGAAGGAAAAAAAACAATGTTAATGCTGTAACCTAATACAAAGTTGCCTTGAGTCTGGGCATGGACAGTTGTTTAATTGCAAATGTATTTGGCAGAATAGAAATGGTGTATAATTTAAGAAAAATCAGTGTTAAACAATTGCATAACTAGTGTGTATCCAATACGCTTCCTGCAATGGGCATCACTAGTTAGTAATTCTGAAACTGCCGTTAATTGTGTACCTATTAAAATGAAGTTAATTTCAAAGGCCAATACAAGACATGTGCCATGCATTTCCTCCTACATTGCTACTGTATAATATCTGAAATGACCTCCACTTGCTCTTTCATTAGTCTGTTTTCACATAACTTTTCTTTGTATTTGTACAGTGGCTTCAGTGAAACTGATGTTGCCATATTTTGGTTGTAACCAATAAATGCTTTTAACCAAGATAGGGATAGTTCTGAAATGATTTGTCATTGTTTAAAATTTACACACAAGTTAATTGTATAACATGCAATCAATCTTTAAATCACTGGCTTCCTTAATCCAGAAGTATGTTGCACCAACTCATGAAAACACCAATGTGTGATGTATTCAGACAAGGCTCTCGAATTGCTGTTATGTTAGATCTTATTATTGCAAATGACAGTTTAGATTCATTAATATACCATGTACCACTAATTCACCTTGTTAATTGTTTGCTTATTTCAGACAGTGATTGCTGAAAATCACTTCATCTGTTCTTTAAGAGGAAAAATCACTGCAGCTACATTTGAAATTTATTACCAAATTATACGCAGATGTACAACCAAAGAAATACTTCCAATTCTTCATATGCCATTTTTGATCCTTCCAGAACAAGAAATGGAGAAAAATTTAAGTTGTTTTACAAAAATCATGCCACCAGTTAAACCTCTAATGTACAAAATAGATTAAAGCCTTTCCATAGACCTTTACTTACAATGTTAAAGTGATTAACTTGAGGGTTAAGTCAAAATATAAATGCTTAAGAAATATTTCAAATTTTGGTATTTACATCTAAACTTCTATACAAGATTGAGCAAGTTCAAAATCCCTTCATTTAAAGAATTTTCTCCAACCCATTACAATAGAACTGCAAATTATACCAATTCAAAACCTTGTCTGAATTGTAATAAGCAATGACCACTGTATTAATTACACAATACCCATCATTGTGCCAGCTTGGAACTACAAGTAGATTGTTAGGTGGAAGTAGATTGTCAGGGTTGATATTGGACCAGCAGTTACTTGATCATCATTGTTTAACACCCCCGACCAAAAGCAAAACAGAATATTCCTAGGTCTCTCACACTTTGCATGAAACGCATCAACTTAGTTTGACTAATTCACAATACTTCCCATTTTTGGCATTAAGTACTGATGAAACAACGGTTCAGTAAATGTGCATGTTTTTATAACTGGTAATAGCCATTAGACTGGATTTATTTTGCTTTGCTTTCCCCAGTATCAACCTTGACCAAAGCATAGGATCAGTGTTTATACCAACACAAGTACCTCCCTGACAAAAATAATAAATATTCTGATGCAGGATTTTTTTTGGGGGGGGGGCAGTATAGAATTTGTTCAGAAAGTGATTTTAATTTACCTTTTTGGACCATCAGTTACTTTGAATTTAGGGTTAGTTTCCCTCAATACCATTGTATCCACATAACATGCATGTTATAATCTCTTCTGGTTTCTCTATCTGAATACTGAATGTGACATACTGGTAGGATTGAGATGTAATATACGACTTATGCTTAAAAAAGGCAAGGAAATAGATCCTAACGACTGAAATGATTGTCAAATTCAACATTTTATATTGATCATATTTTGATATTTGTACAAATTTCTAGCAATTTTTCAGGTTTCATGAACTGTTGAGTTATCCACACAAATCATCAGCAGATAAAGTGCACAGACTATGTCATTCATAGGTTCATTTGTTGGAGGAGTGGGGGGGGGGGAATCAGAGATAAGCAAAATGCAATGGATTTTGTACAGTTCCCTGACTGGTTGCATGAAAATCAAAGATCAGCAGTGATCTCTTTAGAAAAGGTTTGGTTAGTGTTGATAAATCGCCATGACACATCTTTCCCACATCGGGTCAAATTTCTAAATAGGATTCTAGAAAAGAACTGTACAAAGGCTACTAGAGGTTTGTATTTTTCATACGTACTATAGCAACCGATAATGTACCACAAAATTTGATGACAATCATTGAAAGAGCTGCTTTAGGTCATATATATATATATATGCTTCAGTTTGTTACTGGCTCTGCTC